CGCTGGTGTGCCTGGCGCTGGCTGCGCTCGCCGCCGCGCTGCCCCTCGCCTCGGTCGGGGACTACGGCGCCTCCCCTCTCTGCCTGCCCTACGCCCTGCCCGACGGCCAGCCCGCCGCCCTGGGCCTCGCCGTGGCCCTGGTCATGGTGAACTCCCTCTGCTTCCTCGTGGTGGCTGGTGCCTACATCAAGCTCTACTGTGACCTGCCGCGGGGTGACTTCGAGGCCGTGTGGGACTGCGCCATGGTGAGGCACGTGGCCTGGCTCATCTTCGCGGATGGGCTCCTCTACTGCCCCGTGGCCTTCCTTAGCTTTGCCTCCATGCTGAGCCTCTTCCCGGTCACCCCTGAGGCGCTCAAGTCGGTCCTGCTCGTGGTGTTGCCTCTCCCTGCCTGCCTGAACCCCTTGCTCTACCAGCTCTTCAACCCCCACTTCCGGGATGACCTTCGGAGGCTCTGTCCCTGGTCAGGAACCGCGGGACCCCTAACCTATGCTGCTGCCAATGAGCTGGAAAAGAGCTCCTGCGACTCCACCCAGGCTCTGGTGGCCTTCTCTGATGTGGATCTCATTCTGGAAGCTTCTGAGGCTGGGCGGCCCCCTGGGCTGGAGACCTATGGATTCCCCACAGTGACCCTCATCTCCTATCCGCAGCCAGCGGCCCCCAGGCTGGAGGGAAACCGTTTTGCAGAGCCAGAGGGGACCCACTTGGGGTTCCCACAGCCCTCCCTGGATGGAGAACTGCTGCTGCGAGCAGAGGGCGCCTCAGGAGGGGGCTCCTCAGTGAGTGGGGTCTTCCAGCCCTCCGGCTCAGTCTTTGCCTCACACTTATAAATGACCCTCCCCACTCCTCTGTCACTTCGCTTCCCTCTTTTCCCACTCCGTGAATGATGGCTGCTTATGAAATAAATACATACAACCAAAATTCAACCGTGTGACCCAGAGCAGACTGGCCCAGGTCTTGGCCCCACCGGTCTCCTTTCTCCCATGGTGGTCACCTTGAGTGCTTCTTGGCCTACTTTACCGCAGCCTTCCTAATTTCATCTTCGTTGCTGGCCTCTTCCCTGTCATGTCCAAAGCTGTGGACCAGAGACCGGAAACATTGCCTAAGGGAAGTGACTGAAATAGAAATGGAGTAGGAACCAGGATAGGATCAGAATCAGGGCACAGTGGACAGGGAAAACTTGAAGGTCTGGAAGGGAAACACCAAAGGCATTTGAGTCTCTCTCTTGTAACTCATAGAAGGGATAGAAAAAGTGTTCTGTGTTCCATTAGTCTTGATATATGTCCTGCAGAAATACTTGCTTTAAAATAAACTTTGGAAGAGATGACACATTATAACTCTTTCTTCCAGATCTCCAGGGCATGGCAGCATAGTAAAGGCCCTGGAAATTCCTGCAACAGTAAAATCTATTGAACTTTGGTCAATCCAGTTGGTTCCCCAAAACTGTTTGACAACAGGTTTTGGTCTTCATGGAATACTTATTATTATCTCCAAAAATTTAGCACTGCTTTCTGCTAGGGGTCTCCTAGGAGACACAGGTCAACAAGGCTGCCTAGACTGGGGTGGAGGGATGAGGCAAGAGACCATTCGTGGAACTTGACACATCTCTAAATCTTACTTGATTAGTTGATTTACCTGGACTCTTTCAGGCTCTGAAGCTCAGCGTGCTGACTTTATAATTCCTTAGGGTCCCTAGCATGGGGTCAACTTCAGTTGGCACTCATTAAATGATGGCACAGGTATTTATCAATTGTTTGAGGACCTCTTTTCTCCCTATTTGCCCAGGGCTGATCAAAAGCCCTTGGTGGAAGTAGTTACTTTGGGTGTTAAGAATTGGTAATTCTTATCAGGGAAAAGGAGTTTTCTGAGATATCCTAGGGCTGACAAAATTGCTGATTTTGGGGAGTCTTGAATTCTAGGAAGTTACTGAAGACCACTCCTCCCAACACGAGCACTGTTCCCCCTGGAATTAGGGAGCCAGACTGGAGGTAGAGTGGAGGGGTCAGCTGTTGGAGGTGTAAGAGTTTTAGAAGCTATCCCCCAAAGGTGGCTTCTTCTGTGAAAAAGTGGGCCATGCTTTTTGGCTTTGAGCTTTAGGATGGCACTGCTGTCACCTCACTATCTACTTCTAAAGATGTGGGCACCTCCTGAAGTGAACTTTGTGTTCACAAGAGAGATAGAAGGGAGTGCAGGCATTTACCATACACTATTTTCATTATTCAAAAAGTCTAGTTGATATTGTACATTTACCCAAAATAAGATTGTTCAGTTGTTTTTTGTTTTTGACTGAATTGCTAGAACGTCGGTGTGTTACTCCTTTGTGATCAGCAGAAGATTATGAAAACTGTACATGTCTTTGATTAATCACAAAATCAAAAACCAAGTTGCTCAATGCCCATAAATTCATTTTGTCTGGCTGACAAAATCTTCCAAAACGGTGTCCATGGAAAAGAATCCACCAAAGGGGGCGATGGCGATGGAAATGTTGGCAGTATCTAACCTGTTATGTGCTGCTCTGGGCTCCTTGTGTTGTGCCTTAGCCACTGTTACCAACCAGCATCCTCTGCGACTGACTTGTGAGGGGGAATTTCTTATGGTGGGCCATGGTTTGCTAAGCACCTCTGTCTACACCAAAAGGAAAACCCAAAGGATACAGAGCTAATGTGGGAAGACTATGGACTAACAGAGTTAACAGCTGGGCCTTCTCCCCACTTCCTAGTTTCCATTTTTGGGAAGAATAAAGGCTTAAAGAATAAAGGAGGAGGAGAAAGAGGTGGTGACAACAGATGGCCTGAGTAAACAAGGAGGGTGGGAGATAACTAAAGTCCTGGTCCCCTCTGGCACTGTCCCCTCTAACTACCTCTGCTCTGATCTAGCAAGTTCTCCCACCCATTGCCCACCTGTGTCCCTTCTGCGTTCCAGACCCATGCCCTCTCCCTCTCCAGTTGTGTGAAATATAAGAATTGTCAAGGTGTAAATATTTGGGCTCTTCTGTATAATAAAGTATTGCTGAATGTGTCCCTCACCTCCTTTCTGCCGCCTGCCTCTGTGACCAGAAGTGGTGAGGAGTAAGAAGAGGGTCAAAGCTCTTCCTTAACCCATCTTCTGAGTTGTGGGGCATCTGGGGCACAGCTCAGAAGGCTCAGAATTGAAGATTGAAGGCATCAGATTCAATCTCACGAACCCATACTGAGGTGTCACTTGTGTGCTGGGCACTGGGTCAGAGAGAATGGTCTAGAGAAAACACTAAGCAGGTTGGGCTTTCTGTTACTCAGACCCTGAATACCTTGTCAGACAGACCCAAGCCTATTGCTGGGATTTCCTGATACTGTGAACCCCAAAGAATCCTTCTTGGTTGAACTTCCTCACCCACTGTCTGCCTGGAAATCCTTTCCTCTAAACCTTGCTTCAGAGTGGGATGATACCCGCAAGACAAACAGGGGCCCCTTCTCAAGGGAAGGGAAAGAGATCAAGTTCAGCAAACATTTGTGATCACAGGAATGAGATGCCACCCCCAGAATGGTGCCTTTTTCTTTTTTCTCCTTCCCATTCCTTCCATGTTTCTTTGAAGTCTCTTTCCCTTCTCTTTGTCCTTTTTTTTTTTTTAGGCAGGGTCTCCATATGTAGTTTAGCCTGACTTTGAACTCACTTTGTAGCCCAGGCTGGCCTTAAACTCACAGTGATCCTCATGTCTCAGCCTCCAGAATGCTGGGATTATAGGCATGCTCCACCACGTCTGGCTCTTTGTTCTTTTATTTAAAAATTGTGACTTTATTTTTAAAATTGATATATAAACCTAACACCCTTCTAAGAGGCCAAACAATGCCTTTGTAAACACCTGTCCTGCACCCTTCTTGGTTTTTTTTTTGTTTTGTTTTGTTTTTTTCTTTTGGTACCAGGAATTGAACTCAGGACCTTGTGTTTGCCAGGCAGGCACTTGTGCCGCCCGAGCTATATCCCCAGCACCTCCACCCTTCTTGAAGACAGAACATTCCAACCCTCTCCATCTTTCTGGCTCAACTGCAGAGAAGGCTGTTTGCTTGTCTGTTCTTGTCAAACTGGGTTGGGGAAAGAGACCCAGGGCCTAACTCCAGTAAATGCATGTTTCTTAAAAGGATGCATGTGAAGAAATAATAGAGGCAGAATCCAAGCAAACCAAGGCTAGAAAGAGCAGTGACACTGGGTCTTGGGTGGAAACCAAGGGCTCTTCTGGATTTGAGTCAGGTCTGAGTTCCAGCCAGTGGCAGTCACCTTGGGACCCACCGTGAGCAGGCTCAGCTGCCCTCCGTAGGCTTGTTGTGATGTCTGCCTCTCAGCCATAATCAACTTCTCCCTCCCCACTCTCTTGTTTAAAATTAATTTTAAATAAATAATACAATGACATGGTTCCAGTAACATAAGTTTTAACAGTCTCTCTCCATCTCTGTCTTTATTTGCTCACTTTCCAAGTCTTCACTTGTTATCACTGTTATTAACTGTTACTGGCTTTTTACATATCCTTCCAGAGTGGTTTTTTGTTTGTTTTGTTTTGTTTTAGTTTGGTTTTTTATCCAGGCATGGTGGCACCCATCTGTAAACCCAGAACTTGGGCAGCTGAGGCAGAAGGATCATAAGTTTGAGGAAAACCAGAGCTATATAGTAAGATCCTGTCTCAAACAAACAAACCAAGAAACCAGTTTTAAAACATGCATATACAAGCAGGAAACATATATGTGCTTATTTTTCCTTTTTTACCCAAAGTTAACATACCATAATTCTGCTTCTGTTTTTCTTACTTACTAATTAAGTTCAAAGACCTTTCCACATCAGTAAAGAAAGGGCTCTCATTTTTATAGCAGCATGTATCACTTTATATAGATCTATCATATATATACATGGGAATTTGGCTTGCTTCATATTTTGTTCTGACAAACAGTACTACAACAAGCTGTCATGTATGTGTGTCATGTCACACATATATGGACATAAGATAAATTCCCAGGACTGCTGAATAAGTCCAAGTAATTAATTATATCTTCCCTTCTTTTTTTTTTTTTTTTTTTTGAGACAGGGTCTATGTAGCCCAGACTGGCCTCAAACTCACGGCTATTTTCCTGCCTCAGCCTCTCCAATGCTGGGATTACAGGTGTGCACCACCATATCTAGCTGACTTCATTTTTTTTCACCAACAGTCTATTTATAGCTTCTGTATATATATTCCTCACTGATACCTGTTCTTGCTCAAAGCCTGTCTGCATCTTTTCAGCATCAACTTCTGGGCTCACTGCTTTGTTTTCTTCTGGTATTTCCTGGGGCCATGTTTTGAGAGATGGGGAAACTGACTAGCCAACTTCTCCTTCTGCACTAGGTAAAATCAAAGGGCAATGGCCACATAATGGGTTAACTGTTTTTAGGCCAGGTACCTATCCTAGCCAATTAAATTGGAAGGTGGAAATGGGTGTGTTTGTGTGGGGCCACACTGGACAAAGTGTGTCTGCTTAGGGTTTCCACCTGAGGAAGGGCTGCAGGCAGGGCTCTTCCTTCAAAATGGCTGGTAGGCCTGGCAGGAAGTTTCCACAGGGCAGGTGCTAGGTGGGCCTCACTCATTGTTGTATCCTCAATCCTTTCCACAGGGCCTAACAAAGAGAAAATGTTCAGTTAATTTCTGTTAAAAAAAATTAAGGACTTAATAAAACTAAATATATTCCTAAAATTATTTCCCAATCGAAAGGGGCTGTCTGACAAGGAAATGCAAACCGCACAGAACGACAGATAAGTTCTTGTGTGAACTCAACTATTTATATCTCTGAGAACTGTCTCTCTGACAGTTTGTCCACCAGGTCTCTGTCATGCGCTTTGGGCATGTTGTTCCTGTTATATGAAGGCAATGTGGACAGATACTTAGACTGTGTCATGAAAACCGCCTGCAAGTTTTCTGACCATCTTTATAACAGCTCTTCC